AAACAGCAGAACATACATCCTTTTCAAGGTTACATGAAACATTTACAGAGACCATATTCTGAACCATAAAACAAGTCTGATTTAACTTTAAAAGAATTCAAATTATGCAAATTATGCTCTCTGACAAGGGAATTAAATTAGAAATCAATAAAAGAAAAAAATCTGGAAAAGCCTTTAAATATTTGAAAATTAAGTAGCACTCCTCTAAATAACCAAAGGGGGCCAGAGGGGGTTTTAGTATATATTATTAAGTGAATGAAAATGAAAATACAATATATGTCAATATTTGTGGCACATTTTAAAAACAATATCTAGAAAGTAATTTAAATATTTAACACTAAGTATCTGTATCAAAGAAGAAATGTCTTAAACTGATGACCTCGGTTTCTACCTTAACAAACAAGGAAAAGTAACCTAAATCCAAAGTAAGTACAACAAGGAATTTATAAATATAAGAGCAGAAATCAAAGAAATAGAACACAGGACAACAATAAAGAAAATTAACAAAACCAAAAGCTAGTAATTTGAGAACAGTTTATCTAGCCCCACTAATAATGGAGCAAAAAAGAGAAGACAAAATTACAAATATCAGGAATTATATCACTACAGATTCTAAAGATAATAAAAGGATAATAAGAAAAATACTATGAACAACTTTATGTCAACAAATTCAACAATTTAAATGAAAGGGCATCCAAAAAAAAAACCCAAATAGTTCTAGATCTACTAAAGAAATTTGAATTTGAAGCTTAAAAACTTGCCACAAAACTGCAGATCCAGATGACTTCACTTGTCAATTCTACGAAACAGTTAAGAAACAATACTAACTCTACACAAAACCTTCTAGAACACTGAAGAGGGTATACACTACAACTCAATCTGAGGCCAACAATATTATGTTACCAAGAACACCTGGGGGGCAAGACCTCATCTCTACAATAAAACAAAAAAATCAGCCGGGCGTGGTGGCGCATGCCTGTAATTCCGGCTCCTCAGAAGGCTGAGGCAGAAGGATCACCGGAGCCCAGCAGGTCGAGGCTGCGGTGGCTGGGAGAGGCCACTGCACTCCAGTCTGGGTGATAGAATGAGACTCCAACTCAAAAAAAAAAAAAAAGAACAAAGACATTACAAGAATGCTACAAACAATATATTTCATGGACACAGATACAAAAATTTTCAAGAAAACTTTAGCAAACTAAATTCGACAGTATATAAAAATAATAAAACATGATCAAGTGGGTTTTATCCAAGGATATATGGAAAGCAAATAGGCATCTGAAAAGATGGTTGACATTATCTGTCATTATGGAAATGCAAGTTACAACCATAGTAAGATAATACTACACTGGAATATCTAAAACTAAAAAGACTAACCATACCAAGTGCTGGTAAGGAAGTAGAGCAACTGGAACTTTTATATGCTGCTGATGCCAATGCAAAATAGTACAACCGATTTGGAAAACAGTTTGGCAATTTGTTTTTTTTTTTGAGTTGGAGTCTCACTCCATCACCCAGGCTGGAGTGTAGTAGCGTCAACCTGCTGGGTTCATAATATCCTTCCTCCTCTGCCTTCCAAATAGCAGGAACTGCAGGCACGTGCTACCACATCTGACTAATTTTTTGATTTATGTAGAGATGAGGTCTCGCCAAGTTGCCCAGGCTGGTCTCGAATCTGTGGGTTCAGGCAATTCTCTCACCTCAGCCTCCTAAAGTGCTGATTACAGGCTTGAGCCACCCCGCCCAGGCCTTTTTGTCTTTTTAAATAATTACATACATACCACATACTCCAACCATTTCACTCCTTTTTTCCCCCTAAAGAAATAAAAGCAAATGTCCACACAATGACTCGTAAGCAGATGATCTACAGGTTCTTTGTAATAGCAAAAAACTGAAAACAATCCAAATGTTCATCAATTAAGTGAATGAATAAACAGAATGTGGTATATCCACAACATAGAATACTACTCAAAAATAAAAAGAAACAAACTACTGATACACATAACAACATGGATGAATGTCAAAATAAATATGCTGAATGAAAGCAACCAAGCCACAAAAAAAAAAAAAGAATGCATAGCATGTAATTCCATTTATGCAAAATTTTAGAAAATGAAAACTTATCTATAGGGTCAGAAAGCAAATCAGTGGCTGATGAAAGTTGGGTGGCAGGGAAGGGTGGCAGAGAGGAATTACAAAAGAGCAGAAGCAATGTTTTAGCTATGTTGTTCACTGCCTGGGTGGTGGTAATGGTTTCATGAGTATATACATTGTATCAAATTGTATGCTTTAAACATACACAGTTTATTTTATGTCAATTATACCTCAATAAAGCTGCAGAAAAGAGGAGGGGTTGGAGACAGGAAAGGAAAACTAGGGAATAAGAGAGAAAATAAAAATAAATCAGTCTAGGATGACCAGTATTCAGAGTTTGGAAAGGGAGGGGGGAAAAGGAGGTCAAGGAATAAAGAGTGTTCCCTAAAACTGAAGAACAAGACTCCAGACTCAAACAGTACTGATCACAATGAATCTAAATTTAAAATAAAATCTATACTAGGTACTTAATCATAAAGTTTACACTATCAAGAACAAAAACCTTTTAAAATTTCAGAAAGAAACACTGAGCAGCACAAAAGAATGAAAGCAGCATAAGTACATAAATTTTTATGCACTTATTAGCACTTATTATTTATTAGCTGAGTGACCTTGGGTATGTTACTAAAGCCTTCTGTTTTTCAATTTTCTCATCTGTAGGAATAAAAATTAGTAGAAGCAGTAATAGTCACATAGTTGTTTTGAGGATGTAACAAGTTAATATCTGTAAAGTGCTTGGAACAGAGCCACGGTAAGCACAACATAAGAGCTGGTTAAATGAATAAATCACATTAACATTGAACTTGTCATCAACAATACTAGATGACAATACAAAAGAACAATGCTTTCGGGGTTTTGAGGGAAACTAATTTTCAAACTCGAATTCTATGACTCATTCATGTGTATAAGGGGAGAATGGAGATAATTGGGGGCCTTCAATGAGTCAGAAAAATACATCCCGCATAGCATTTCTTAAAAACTCAATTGAGAATAAAAACCAACGAAGAATTTAAACTGAGAACAATGATGATCCAGGAAACAGTACCTCCCACTGAAGAACGGAATACAAAACAAAACAAAACAAAAAAACTCAGGATGAAGCTTTCCAGCAAACCTACAGAATAACCAGGTGTGACTAAAACAGAAATAAAAAAGACCCCAAGAAGGTGTCTCCAAGAAGGAAGAGGACTTGCTAGGCTACCTGATAAAAGAGTTTGGGTGTTGTAAAGCAGAAAAAAAGAAAAGCAACCACAGGAAAAAGACAAAGCATCACGAGAAACAGAATCATAGTACAGAATCTGCAGTGACAATAATCAACAATACTATTTGACTGTATAGCTTAAAAATAAACCTGTATAGTCAAAGCCCTGCTAATTTAATTTTGGGTGACCATAACGCCAAAGTGCAGCTGACAAACCAGAGGTGAAGAGGTAGAAAAGCTACTACTAATCTCGGAAAGTACTAAGTCAAGGGGTGCTTCATACAGATAACAATTAAAAATAAAGACACAATATTGAGTTATAAAGTTTACCAATAGAAGAAATAACGATAGCGATTCACCCTATTAAGTGTATGGAGGTCTGAGTGACTAAATCTCCTCCCATCATAGTTAGAATTCAGTAGATCTAAAACTGATAAAACACATATAAGCATGAGCTTCATGGAGATAGAGCCAAAAGAGTTAAAAGTGGTTGTTTTCCGAGAGGAGAAATGAGATGGGAAGGGGCAGAGCAAGGAACTGTTGCTTTCTATCTGTACAAGATCAATAAAATTTGATAACGTTTACAAAGAAAACAAGTATCCAGTTTATCAGTCTCTGAGAAAAACACAAGAAACACTAGGAATACCACTAAAACAAGGCTTTCAGTTTCTCCTTGGACAAAAGCCAAGAAAGCTTTAAAAATAATCAAAAGTTTACCAATCTAAGTAATAGAAGTAAGTTCACAGTGACGGGCATGAGATGCCCTCGAACCTTTCCAATCCAGAAATTCTAATTATACAAAATCGAACTCGAATGCAATCACGGATAGGACAGTAACACAACGCAATCAGGGCCAAAAGTTCACCCACAGGCTAACAAACTCGCAACAACAAAGGCACTGCTCGAGTGCATCCAGATATCTAGAAGCTGTCCCAAGCATGCGGCCCGGCAGTCGGGCACCGAGAAGGGAGGACGGATCAGAAGATCTCGTCTTGGACCGCACAAGCCGCTGCCGGGGTCAGGACAAACCACAGCAACACATGGCCCCGCACACTAAGAGAAAAGTCCCCTAGGCACGGACGGTAAACGGACGCTCGCGGGAACTGCGGTACGGGGAGCCGAAGGTCGGGATCCGCATCCGCGTATACCCGACCCTGCCAATCTGCCTCCAAGGCTCTCCGGAGACCCCAAACGCGCGGTCTCGAAAGGAAACAAAGCCGTGGGCGGGGCCTTCCGGTGCCGGGCAAGCGGGCA